GGCCTATACAATGACTTTCGGTGGCCAGCCAATGTACAAGTCAGTGTTTTATCCTCCCAGACGAATCTGGTACCAATTTACCGTCCCCAGAGGATAGAAGGCTTGGTTGGCCTGGGCGGGTGTCGACCCGGGCATATCGAGCCGGCCGCCGCGCGAGTGGTAAACGCGCCACTTGTCACTACACCACCTCTGCCTCAAGGGTTTGAATACAGAAAGAAAAAACATAAAAGCTGGAGTTCAGTACAACTGTAGCGCGACGCTGTAGCGCTACAATTCTGAACGCTGCCTAAATGGAGTTTGCAGGATGGCTACATGATCTGGTTTTTGATTGTGTTGCATTTGTTGTTTCTTGTACTTTGATGTCGTTTGTTTTGGACCCCCTGGTTTTAAGTGTGCTACCTGCACGTGCTAATAGGATGAACTTATTACCATTGACGTATAGAACGTCATCGCAGTCCAGCATGCCAGCCAACACAGTGCGAGGTGTCGTGAAGTGCTATGGCTCTTTTCTGGACTCTCCAGCTTTCAACCGCGTACAAGGAACAATGCGTTGCGTTGATTTCTTTGTACGTTGTACACGCGAATGCTCGCGCAAGAATCCGTGATTCCGTTGCACTCCGTCGATGTATGTCCAGAAGAAGGTCGCAGATTCTCAGCCCTGAGCTTGCCCAAATCTTATTTGAAGACTCTCTACTCAGATACGATTATGCGTTATGTCAGGTCGTCCCCGTGCAGAATGATTAATACCTTCGAAAAAAAAACAAAACAACGGTCTTTCTTGCGCAATCATAAACCGATGAAAAGTTCATTGAACCATCTGCGACACCATGTTCAGCGACCTGTTAGCGTCCAGGAAATCAGTCACCATTTACGATATGGGTGCCCCAGAGCCGTTTCTTGTCCGCTTACCGAATTTTTACATGAAATCAAAGAACCTATTCTCAAAGCTATTTGGTAGGTAATTCTCTGCTCTGCTAGAAAGTATGCCTAACTCCCTAGTGTTTCTTGATTTTTGGCTGCTTTTATTTTATTGAAATGGAGTGTCGGGTCAACTCAAAGGTGAATTTTTGACAACAACGTTTTGCGCTAAATCTAGGCTCTTAAACTGCATGAGAAGCGCAAAACATGTGGTTGTAACCCGAACAGGAGTGTGTCCTTGGAAAACATGACATGTTAGCAATTCACATACAAGGAGTTCGGACCCTGTAAATGTGCATCGCATGGAGCGCCCTTTCGGGACCCCCCCCCGCTCGCTCGCGGTCAAATGTGACTCAACGAAAAGGTGAAAGAGGAAGGATGTGCGCTCTGATGAGATTATCGCTGTTTTGACACGATCACAATTATGTCATTTCCCAAAACGTGAGAGAGGGGGGGGGGGGGGGGGGGGGGGGGGGTGAGAGTGGAAGTCGCCTCAAACTAGGGAAATTCCTGGGAAAAACGAATTGCAATCAGTGTCCAAGTGGAGTACGCAGGCAACCACCCCGTTACAGTTATGGAGCGGAAATACGGTCAAAAATGATCTTACTAACACCTGAATACTATCTTATGATCCTTATTGAAACACATACGAGGATACAGGCACCTCTGATTACTGCTCACTGGCGCCTGTTGTTGTCACTGCAGCGAGATGTTTTCAGCGACGGAATCGATGCATGCGTTCTTTGGCTCACTGCAGCGCCTCTGTTGACGACGCAAAATTTGTGCCGGAGTAAAGCGGTGTATTGACTGTCACACTTGTTTTTTTACTTCTGGGACGTTACCTCCTCCATTTTCATAATTACTAATGTCTCATTCCAATGTTCTTCTGGCACTTCTTTAACATTTCGAAATTTTAAGCGAATTCCATGAAGCCATGACGCTTGGACTACTACCTCTTCGTCATAGCTCTACATTTTTTGACCCCTAATTGTTTACGTGGTTTCTGTAAGAGTGAAAACCTCCACCCAAACCAAACAACCACAAATATTTGAGAGACCCGTCGGGAAGTGCTAGCATTCTCCTACTACTTTCCTTCGCTGAACCTGCGGATGGAGCAACATACGGTGCTAATGTTGTTCAATGGAGCCAAGCTGCAGCCCCACCACGTTCCTTCCTAGCCGAATTTTGTACAGAGCGCAGACGACCAAAGTTGCTGTGGGCTACTTAATTTCTCGGGTGTATAACGTTACACGGGTCGCGGCATCGCTGCCTCCTAGCTAGTTCACGTGGGAGACTCAGGCCAGAGAGTGGATCCCGCAGCGCCGCCACCTTGAGTGGATTGGGTCCCAGTGCGAATGCTGCGCACACCCTAACGCTATACACCCGCGCTTCCGTATTGTTCAGTACTCTGGCAATCGCGATTGCCCCCATCTGTCAGCGCGTCGTCTACGCTTTGAAGGCAATGCGCACGACCACAGATTAGTGGTAACGGAGCTCAATTACGAACGAGAAAGTGCTAGCTTACTGAATGGTGGAGAAAAGAAGCAGAAAAAGCAGTCCAAAATGCCCTAAATAGGACTTCATGCCGACCCCAACTTGTACGTGCATGCAATGAAGAAAACGTGTTTGTACGAATTTCCACTCGTCGTTATCATAAAGATATCAGCTCTTTTATCTTATCACCTCACTCTCACCATTCGGAATGGAGAGAGATAGCATAGTGGCTACTAGCTAGTAGCTAGCAGCCGGTGGGGCCGGCATGGGCCTAATCGATCAGCTTCCAGTGAGGCCCTTGCCAATTTCTGTTTTTGAAGAAAGCGCAACCTCTGAAATTGCCTTCCGGATCATCTGACACATTTGAGAGATCATACCCTTATTTTATCGCGGAAAGTGCCTTTAAGACAAGGTATTGGTTGGGGGAAGGGACGGAGTAGTGCTGCCCCGCGGTTGCGCTCACATGTGTTAGCACTCAGTCTACGTCGCAAGCTGTTTGTCCGAGCTGTTTGCATCGTTCAGGGGAAGGATTCCTCCTTAGGTCCAGAAAACCCCTTTGTTGGGAGGGGTAACCCTGCCGCGCTTCAATGTCCCTTTCCCAAACAACGCAGACGGCTAGAGTCACCAAGGGATAGTTTCGTAAAGAAGACTTACTCCCCATTTAGCCTAAACCCTTGTTCTGGTTCTCTCCCCTTCCCCCCCCCAACTACGTTGGCGTCTAGGCCATTAAGGCACTAGTAATAGTTCCTATTCGGTCATAGCTCTACCGTCTTGTTCGTTGCGGATGCTGGGGCGTGTGGGGGAGGCTGCTTTCAGCTTGGCGCTAGCTCATTTTCACCTACTGTTGTTGCTTGCTCGCTTCAGCAGTTATTGGAGAACGCACTGGGGCCGCGGCAAACCCATCCCCTTGGCATGCCCCAGCGACCGTAGGCGCCATTCTTTCGCACAGCTGCGGCTGCGTGCCATTGCGTACCTTGCGGAGCTACAGTAACCTCACGCCTAGTTTTATTCAATGTCGAGGAGAGACCTCGTGGGACATGCGTCTATATTTGAGCGCAGTGGGATACAGGTGTTCAGATACCTTCCTCTTCGTCACTATTCCTCGCCAAGTTAACGCACGAAGGGCCAGGATAGCTGACTTTAGGTGTTATTCTGTTGGTACATGTGAAAAGATAGCGGTTGTGTGATAGAGTACTTGCGATTGCGCCATAGTCCATGATTGATTGCAGCTGCTTATTTTTGTGGAGCGGACTGGGATAAGAGAGCTTTTCATAAAACAACAAATGACATATCCTCGGCAAAAATTTGAGTTGCGAAGGTCAGGGGCGCAAACAATGGGAAGCCCTGCAGGAGGACGGGTCACCATCAACACGGAAACGGTATATCTCTTCTTGGGAACGGTAAACATGTCCTGTAAAGTCACTGTGATTCTTTATTACCGTTTTGCTCAACTCACTTCTATTTTCTAGACCAGCGATTTGACGAGTGCCTGACTATTATGATCACGGCGAGAGGCGAAAGCGTGCGGCTGGATAAACCGGAGACTTGCCACGCTCCCCAAACAATATGGAACGTGGAGAAACCGTGGGAGCAATCCTTGGGTTGGGAGTACTGAATGTATCAGTCGTCATCCTTGCACTTGATAGTCAATGTCAGTGCGGCTGCGTGCGGCGCGGTCGCCCGCACCCGTACTGCACCAATCGTTGAACCAGGAAGTGACATTACTGTATTATATCCTTCGTGTTACTCGTTTTCTATCACTTTTTGTCGCATACGCGTTTCAACGAAAAGGCTGAGAAGGCTTCAAACAGTGTGCACGCTCCTTCTCGCCGACACGCCCCTATCAAGTGCAAGGATGACGACTGTATATCCATGAAGCTCACTCAACACCGCATGCTTTACTACATTTTATGTAACTTTTTCTTCAAGAGGGAACTCTGTAGAGGGACAACTGTCATGTTTGGAAGAATTAGTCTACAAGTTGTACTTGCTTCTTTTGATTTTTTACTTCGTAAGGCGTTTGATCCTTTATGCGTATGTAAATTACGCGATAGAGGTATCTTTCGGTTAATGATACCGCTTCCTTCCTTGAAAACGCCCATGAGGCTACTGCACAGGAAGAGTCTAGGACTAAAAAATATTCATAGATGTCACTCTTTGAATCACCAAAATTCATTAAGATGCTACGTCCCAAGGAGTAATGGAACTAGGCGTGAGGTTACTGTAGCTCCGCAGTGTACGCAATGGCACGCAGCCGCAGCTGTGCGAAAGAATGGCGCCGCGAGCGTAGCGAACACGACTGTACTTATACTCCCAGGCGAATCATTCAAAAAACAAACTTTCAACGAGCAGCCCTAACTACCCACTACCAGTGACAATAGCTATATATGACGTCGAATAGTATGTTTCTGTTGAGCTGCAGAGTCTACCCTATACCGGACGCGATGTTGTTGAGCACAACACGTCCACAGTAGATCAGAATTCAGTGTTTCGTCTAAATACATGGCTAGGTAGCTTCGCGTGCTGCTTTCGCTTATCGCTGTGGTATTTTACGTTCACCTCCACTTACGCAGGCACCTCGATCAGAAATGGCTCGAGCCTTGGAAGGACAAATCGCTTTGGTAACGGGAGCGAGTAGAGGAATTGGTTAGTTTTTTCTCTGTTCTCTTTTCTTTTCGTAGGTATCTGACTGACTGAGGGAGGAATGATGGGTTTTTCGGTTAGTAGGTATGTATGCCTGCGTACTTTATTTAAAACCCTCGTGGATTACTTTCGAATCCCAAGGGCTTCTGAGGTTTCTTAAAGGCAGTTGGCACGATAAGCCTTCGTTCTTAATTATTCAAAAAGCAATTTTGGACGAGTTTCCCATAGGCATCTTGCCAATAGTGCTACGGTAGGTACGGCTGCACGTATGTACTCATATATCCATGCAGCACCGCAGCCGCTTCATATCAATCCCTTCGCTTCATATTTTACTTAGCAAATGAAGCAATACGAGCATCAGGTACGGTCGTCCATTTGTGGGCGGGCGGGCGTGGTGGGCGTTCGGGTCGGTATGTTGTAGCTTGATAGGGCCCTTATAAGGGTACCTTCCTTGGGAAAGGCGCTACGCAGCGCCTGCTCAGGGTCGCGGAATTCCGTCCTGCCAGGCGTATTAATCCTACTCGTCTTAGGGATTTATCGTGCCAACTGCCTTTGAAATTAAAGTCCATTCTCTGTATTGGTATACAGGGAATCATTCTGCCTGGTTTTCAGGCCGAGGAATCGCTCTTCAGTTAGGACAGTGTGGTGCTACAGTTTATATTACTGGTAGAAAACCGGAAAAGAGCCTTCAGAGTCAATATCGAAACTTGCCAACATTGCAGCAAGTTGCTGAAGGTAGGTCATCATCAAATTTCGTGATTTTAAAGGAAACTGTATCTTGAAATTCACCTTTTCTAGACATTCGCAACAGAGGTGGTAAGGCTGTACCCGTCTATTGCGACCACACTGACCACACAGAGATCGCCAAGTTGTTTGAACAAATTCAACAGGAAAACAATGGCACACTCAACGTGCTCGTGAATGCTGCGTATGCTGGAGCTAAGGTTTCGCAATTTCTTATGTATGAAATCTTCAGCTTTACTTTGCGTTTTTTCTCCTTGATGTTCCTTATATGGAATCTCCAGAACATGGCTGAAGCCGGTTGCGTTCCATTTTTCGAGGCCGACCCTTTGCTCTGGGACTCTGTAAACAATGTTGGACTGCGAAATAACTACATTTGCTGTGTGCATGCTGCGAGAATGATGGCAAAGAGGAAGTAAGTTCGAATTTCCAGATTATTATCAATTGTGTCTAGAGGTTAAGGTGGTGTAGTGACAAGTGGCGCTTACCACTCGCGCGATCCTGGGTTCAAATCCCGGGTCGACTCCCGCCCAGGCCAACCAAGCCTTCCCTCCGGGGACGGTAAATTGGTACCAGATTCGTCTGGGAGGATAAAACACTGACTTGTACATCGGCTGGCCACCGCAAGTCATTGGGCCACATCGCATTCAATAAGCCACTACGATTCTGAATGGAAGTAGAATGCGTGCCGCATCCCACAAAGGGATTGATCAACGGCGAAGACTCTATTAGACTTTATCTGTCTTATGTGGCAGAACAAAGATGTGCTTTTTAACAGGGATTTCCACAGAAGAACCATGTATAAAGAGAAAAATGTTGAGAAAAGAGTTATATTTGCTAAGTGACATGTAGCAATCAGACATGTAATCCTTTCAGACTGTTCTAGGGGAAAAAAGAAATTGCCAGAACAAAAAGCCATGGCTGAAGGAATGTTTCCTTATTGACTTTTGAATGACACTGTCCACTGTATTTGCTCTCACTCTACACTTTCAGATCTGGTCTCATCGTGAACATTTCTTCTGCCGGTGGCTTGCAGTATACGTTCAACGTTCCTTATGGTGTCGGCAAAGCGGCGGTTAGTTTTCCTTTTTCACTTCTACTGATTGTTCCTTGATGTGTGCTTATGAGAGGGTTTTTCAAATGACGTTTCGAAGGGGTTACATTCCCACTTTCGTAAAACTGCAATATACAATTGTGTCTTCTAACTTTTGCGTAAACACTACTTATGACTACTTGATTTCAAGTAGGAAATTCATTGGACCTCAGCTGTCTTCACCTATTTTACGAGCTTAAAAGAGTTGGCAGGTTTTACCATGATTGTTCGAAGAGCTTTCTCCAGCTTCACAAGAGGTGTTCACCAGAGTGAATCTTTCAAACCGGAGCTAGCAAAGCAGCGAAAGTGCAAAGTGCCCTCCGTGAACTGCACTCGTCAATCCTTGTTTGTTATGATTATGATTTAGTTTTTGCTGCCTTGATATGAGTTCATATTTGTAGCTGGACCGAATGTCTGCGGACATGGCAATTGAGCTGAAACCGTATGGAGTTGCAGTGGTCTCTGTATGGCCTGGAATGGTTCGGACCGAATATTCTGAGATATTGAGGGACGAAGGAAAGCTGGAGAAGATGGTACAGCAGTCTAAGGTACGTTTGGTATTTTTTTCCAAAGATTAGTGCTTTCAGATATTCATTCTCTATTTTCTTTCTTGTTTACGAACTTTACTCAATTTCTTTCATATATGCCGTCCGGAAAGTACATCTTCCGTCCTTTTCATTTCCTTTCCCTGGCGTTATGGTGCTAAATCGCGCCTAAGCATTTATTCCCAGTTCACTGGACTGCAACCCCTTTTTTCAATTGCTTAAGTATCTTGCGGTGTCTTTTTTCTTGGGTAGCGTTCATAGCGAACATCGACAAACTTTTTCTCGAAAAAAAAAAGATGGTGATGCCGGCTGATGCTCTAAGCAGAATTGCGCTGAAATTTGCATACGTCACGTTACCGTGAATAGGATCTGAGCTTTACTGAAATAGCTCGGAACCCCTGAGACTTGAGATTATTCGGGTGACTCGAAGAATACATGTGCTTTCTCTGCCATGTTTTTATGCTTGCCCTTTCTCAAACCACAATTGATGGCAGACCCCTTTAGGGTCGGGATTTTGTGGGTACCAGAAAACTTCCGGCCGTAAACAACTTTATCAGAACTTCTGTACC